TGAACAAAATTAAAACATGAACAAAGTACAAACAAACTATGTATAAAATTAAAAAAAACAAATTATTTACATTCTAATGGATAAGAGATAAGATAAGATAAGTGGAATCGTCTCGCTTTCTTATGGAAAGATTTAATTACGTCCACGTAAAATGTTGGTGAACGTTTTAATTGTACCAATAACTGTTTTTTAATTGCGATAATTGATAAGTCTGAAATACACTCTTGACCTTGTGTATTATCTCAACAAAGTTTAAAGATTTCTTCTCCGATTAGCACTTTAACACACTTCAATTCATCACAAGGAACACTATTATCCTCCATTTTCATTAAAAATCTTTAAAAAAGCATTAATTTTGAACTCTATTATTAAATCGCTTAAGATAAGCACACAGAGTAAATAAACATTGAAACGTGAAATGAACTTGCAAACGTATTGCCCGCGCGCCCCGCTTTTAACAAATTTATTCCCAAAAACCTGGCTTTAAATCTCTATACTAATTGCTATAATATATACAATCGTAGTTATATTTCACTATAGAATATTTTGCCATAGGTTAGAAAGAGAGCGATCGTCTTCTCGAAAGCCCCGTAAAAAGCCCACGCGAGCGAGGGAGACAACTAATCGCTCTATTAAAACTCATTTTTTATGACAGCAGTAGTATCGCTAAAGCGGGCTACATACGAGACGATATCGGTGGCGATCTAGGGTGGAAAGAAATCGGGGTTTTTATCGAGGCAGACCCTACACACGGGCCTGCCTAGCAGTACGCGTTTGGACTTGGAGCGGAACGCATATGCGGTAGAGTTCTTCAAAATGCCTCCGACTCTCTTAAAACACCAACGTGTTGGTTTGGAATTAGCCATCTCGGTTAATTTATTCGAAAATAGAAAAAGACGAGTTGCTGGGTGAAAAAATGGCTCCAAAAGAGACAAAAATTAAGCCACATAAACGTACTAAATGGTCTGTAATCCAAAGACATGATTAATTTTCTCCGAATGGATGAAGACAGTTTGCACAACCTTCTAGAATTTTTCTATATTTATGATTTCGCAACTTATATAAAAACATCAATTTCTCCTACCTATGCTATTTAGTTATTTCTTCTCTTTGTTCATTTCTGCTTTGGTCAAAATCGGGTTACACACAACGAAAAAAGAAATAAAATACTTTTCTATAATAATATGTGTACTTTTTTTAATGTAATCTATATTTATGGATTAAAACTATCAAAAAATAAAATAGCTTATATTTTTTTTAAACATAAAGAAACCTTTAATTTCGGATATACTCCTTTATATATAGCTTGTTTGTTGATGTGGAGATGGTGAAGGAGGAGTTAATTGTTGATGAGATGATGAAGGCACGTAAGAGGTATGAGTGCGGTCTTGTGTTGATGGCGTTGGAATAGGAGTTAGTTGTTGAGGAGAGGCTTTATCCCCCCCTTACTTACTTCATACACCCTACTTTATGAAAGGCAATAAAACAATTAGTTTAGTAGGCATTCTTGACTTCGCAAGGCTAGGGTGGATATGATTTGAATTTCGATAGATTTTAATTTATTTATTTATTCAAATTTTTTTTGTAAAATATCAGTGCCATAGGCTTCTACTCCGTTCACATGTTTAAAATGTAAAAATTTTGTTATGTAAATAAAACCGGCCAAGAGCGTGTCGGGCCACGCTCAGTGTAGGGTTCCGTAGTTTCCCGTCCGTCACAATAAGTGTTCCCACTTATGAGTTTAAGGGTGGGTATCCATTATGTTGGCGCTCCAACAGCGCTCCGCGCTCCTGCAACTGCTCCCGGTAGTGGGTACGTGCGCGAACATGGAGCGTGCAACATTGCACGCTCCGCGGCAGGCGCTCCGACTTTCCATCCAAGTTTAAAATAATTTTCCTAGAAAGTCCTTATAAAGTTCTACTTTTCAGATTTTTTCATATTTTCTAAACTTATGGTTCAAAAGTTAGAGGGGAGGGGGGACACATTGTTTTTTACTTTTTGAGCGATTATTTCCGAAATTATTGACATTATCAAAAAATGATTTTAACCCCTGTAAACCCCTATTCATTTTTAAATACCTTTCCAACAATATATCACACGTTAGGGTTGAAATTAAAAAAAAATCACTTCCCACTTTACATATATGGGGGCTACCCTAATTAAACATTTTTTTTCCAATTTTTATTTTACCACTTTGTCGGCGTGATTTATGCACATATTGGTACCAAATTTCAGCTTTCTAGTGCTAACGGTCACAGAGATTAAGCGAGGACGGACAGACGGACAGACAGACATGGCGAAACTATAAGGGTTCCTAGTTGACTACGGAACCCTAAAAAGGTCATTCAGTATCACTGTTTCGTTAACGTCCTTCCGGGAGGGCTGCCGGCAGCGACTGCCAAAAGAAATCGGGCAGATGCGCCTACACACACGCAGTACGGAGGGGGCGGGGCCCCGATCTAGGAAGCATCGGATGCATTTTTGCTCCTGCCAGCCGATTAAGGAGGCGATATCGGCCACGACTTAGGATGGCCCTACATACGACACGATTTAGAGGCAATCTAGGAGGCTTCCCCACTACTCCACCCTAGATCGCCACCGATATCATGTCGTATGTAGCCCGCTTAAGGCAATACGAGGTCATCGGTCGACATGTGTCGAACAGAGGAGTGCGCGGGAAATTTGAAATAGCTTGAAACATTTTACGAGTTATTTTATTAGTTGATATTATTGATTGATTCAGTTTTAATAAGGCAAGCCCGGCTTATCGGCTTTTATGGAAGCTTCGCCACTGTTGCAAACCACACTCTTATTATACAATTTCTCACCTTCTTACTCAGATTCAGCCCTACCATACTCCTTAATGACTGTATTTCTACTGCGTTTATTCTACTTTCGTGCTTCTTCTGCCACACTCAACTTCCACTACCATATGTATATAGGGACTAACATAGTCATATGTGCCTTTTTACCTTATTTCCTGCATTCACTCATTGCTTTTTAATAAGGATTTGTTAATAAAATTTAATCATTTATTTAATAATATAATACAAACATATTTTTATTAACCTATCACCATTAGTATATATTCTTACCTACGTACTAAATCTACATTACATCTATTTTTCATATTTGAAATTTGATAATATAGCTTAACATATGTAATCAAAAACATATTGATTATATATCAAATGATAAAACTATGAAATTAAAATCTTAAAATTATATTTATAGTGAACCAAAATTCAGTTTCTTTTACAAAAGAATTAAAAGAACACAAAAATAAATTTAAAATAACATTAAAACATTTATAAAATTAAATGTGTCTTATTTTAAATTACAGCAATGCTATTGTTGTTGTATACTGAAAAATTTAAAACAATAATATTAAAACCCTCAATTGTCCTGGCTATTTTGGACATTGCATTTGATTATTACTTTATTTTCAGATGCTCTATATATTGATCATTTCTTGTTGGTAGTGTTGTTGCTTGGGGAATGTGGTATGGAATTAAGTTGTGATTCTGAAATGAAAATAAATATTTGATAACATCCCATCTCTGTAGAGTAATGTATTATAAATCAATGACAAAATTAAGGTGGAATATTTGAATTAGAAGTTTTAATCCATCACAGGGCTTGTGGATTATTATTATTTATTAAAAGGATGTTTAAGATTTATTGAAACATCTATATTCTCTACACTAAGTGATAACACATATGACGTCAATTTCTGTAAATTATTGCAATTAAAAAATGATGGATAACCTTTTTACCACTTGAGTGTAAGGCATATTGCAAGTTCCTTATTTTAATTAAACTGTAGGTAGGGGCTCGACCAAGGCCACTTTCTTTGTGGCCGTATCTAGAAGATAAAGTTCATCATAAAGAGTCTATTTTCTCCATGAAATCAACCAACTGTTAGGCCATTTGGTGCCGTGTCCCTAGCCTATCCATTAGATATTCCTAAAAAAATAAAATAATATTAAAATGTCTGTCTTTGAAACTGAGTAAAAAAATAGTTATTATTATTATTAGATACCACACAACAATATTGAGAAGTTAACGAATCAACATTGTTATTTGTAATAACTAAGTAGTGAGAAAGGTTAATTGTAAATTGAGTCTTCAAAAGCAACACTTGACCACCTGTGACTGCTATCAATCCCTAGTTTAATGTTGATCAACAGGCCAGAAATTGCTTTTTTTTTCTGTGTCCAAATTAAAAAACATATCTACTTATAAAATTCTTAAAAAACATTGTTATACTTACTTTAGCCTATCCTTGACCATTATTATTTATTTTGTTCCTCCTAATTAGCTATAAAGTGCCCATTTCGTCTGTTTCATATGATGCTTAATTGTGTTAATGCGGCAATGAACTGTTTCAAACTGTTTATAGTTATACCCAAATTGAAAGGTCTAATAGTAATTCACTGTACACATACTTAAAAAGCACCTTTACCTTTAAACTTAAAAAGAGTTCTTCGAAAGTTTATATTTGTTTACTTTGTTTCATGATCGTCGTGTTAACAATTGTTTTCTGACAACAAAAAAATGAGGCAAAGGCACGCTCCTATACAGCTTATAATTAATTAAAACTCGCAAATATAGCGTTTTTTTATAAGAACTGTATGAAAAGATGTTATGTTTGACGAATTACACCATTTATTAAGTATTTTTACTACTTAAACGCTCGTTTATGAAAGTTACAAAGGGTTTATTATGACTTTACCGGTTTAACGATAAATAAAACATGTCTGTTGCTAAGAGTAACGAAGCTAACTTCATGTGGTGCAACAAAATTTTTGGCCAAACCGAGCGCAAATCCGATTTCAATCCAATGTTGTCAAAGTAGTTTTCAAGAGTACGCTAATTTGTCAATATTGGATTGACATTGAATTGAAATTGAGATTGGATCGAAATTGTTATTTGATTCAAGAGTAAGCTTGCTGTTTTAAACGGTTAGTTTCCTCTACGATTGGCTTACAGTATAACTATCAATAAGGCACAAGGTCAACCGTTCCAATATAGTGGAGTGAATTTGGAAGAATCCCGTGTTTCATTTGGTCAAATCTATGTAGCTTTTTCGTTGGACAGATTTTTTTATTAATGTCTGCACCAGAACACAAGACAGCAAATGTAGTGCATAAGAATGTATTGTAACATAGGGATTCAGTACATGATTATCTGTAAAATATTTTAGTATAATTAATACAACCATATATAAAAAAAAACTTAAAAATTTAACAAGAAGTCATGTGTTCTTAATTTTAAAAAGTTACTAATTTAATAAAATATACATACAATACATGAATAAATATTCAACAAAAACTAACCCAGCGAAGTGGGTTTACACTGCTATTGTACATATTTTACCAGAAACCTCACGGAGAAAATTTTGCTCCAGTGTGTATATTCAAATGTCTTAACAAATTAATTTTCCTTTTACATCTATATTCACAGATATTACACGAAAAAGGTTTTTCTCCGGTGTGTACTTTCATATGTGTTTGTAAATTACTTTTTATTTTACATCTATATTCACAGATATTACATGAAAAAGGTTTTTCTCCGGTGTGTACTTTCATATGTGATTGTAAAGAACTCTTTGTAATACATCTATATTCACAGATATTACAACAAAAACGTTTTTCTCCAGTGTGTACTTTCATATGTGTTTGTAAATTACTTTTTATTTTACATCTATATTCACAGATATTACACGAAAAAGGTTTTTCTCCGGTGTGTACTTTCATATGTGATTGTAAAGAACTCTTTGTAATACATCTATATTCACAGATATTACAAGAAAGAGGTTTTTCTCCGGTGTGTATTTTCATATGTGTTTGCAAATGACTCTTTGTAATACATCTATATTCACAGATATTACACGAAAAAGGTTTTTCTCCCGTGTGTATTTTCATATGGCTTAGCAAATTACCTTTCGTAATACATCTATATTCACAGATATCACACAAAAAAGGTTTTTCTCCGGTGTGTACTTTCATATGTGTTTGTAAACTACATTTCCTAATACACCTATATTCACAGATATAACACGAGAAAGGTTTTTCTCCGGTGTGTATTTTCATATGTGTTTGTAAATCAATTTTTTTTACACATCTATATTTACAGATATTACACGAAAAAGGTTTTTCTCCGGTGTGTATTTTCATATGTGTTTGCAAATGACTCTTTGTAATAGATTTAAATTCACAGATATTACACGAAAAAGGTTTTTCTCCGGTGTGTATTTTCATATGCCTTAGCAACTTACTATTTTCAATAAATCTATGTTCACAGATATCACATGAAAAAGGTTTTTCACCAGTGTGTATTTTCATATGTGTTTGCAAATGACTCTTTTTAATACTTTTATATTCACAGATATTACACGAAAAGGGTTTTTCACCGGTGTGTACTTTTATATGTCTTTGCAAATCTCTTTTAGTAATAGATTTATATTCACAGGTATTACACGAAAAAGGTTTTACACCGGTGTGTATTTTCATATGTGTTTGCATATAACCTTTTGCATTACATCTAAATTCACAGACATTACACGAAAAAGGTTTTTTACCGGAGTGTATTTTTATGTGTTGTTTCAAATAGGTTTTCCTTGTAGATTTATATTCACAGATATTACACGAAAAAGGTTTTTCTCCGGTGTGTGTTTTCATATGTTCTTGCAAATCACCTTTTATATTGCATCTAAATTCACAGATATTACACAAAAAAGGTTTTTCTCCGGTGTGTATTTTCATATGCATTTGCAAATATCCTTTAACCGTACATCTATAATCACAATTATAACAACAGTACACTTGCTTAGCGACATGCGCTTTAGAATGTGTTGAAATGTTACATTTTTGAAATGTTTTAAATTCGCAAATATCACAGTTTATATCAATTAGTTGTGGTACTGGAGTTTGTTCAACTTGTGTCTGAACTGCATCTGAGTTCTTTTGTGTCTTATGACTGTATGATATGTGGTCGGCGAGAACATCTTTTGTTAAAAACTTTTTTCTACAATCATCACATTCAAAAATGTATTTTGTTGATGGTTCAGATGTGTTTTCCGTAAGAATATTTCTACTCTGTTTCAAAATCTTCTTTTTCATAATTTTTGCAGGATTCTTCCCCTTTTTAATAACTGTTCGAGTTTTTCTTTTCAGTTTAGGCTTTGATTTAATAGTAGGGCTTTCTAAGTCGAGGTTACAATCAGTAAAATTTGATTTATTTTTCTCACACGGTTTTGAAAAAATATTTGTTTGTATGCAGGGTTGTTCTGAAATACAAATGAATCAAATATTTTATTTATTGTAAGACATTTTATCTTTATTTTAGGATACCTTAGACGGTTTACAGCGGGCGTAATTTACGCATTATCAGGGAGATATAGACAAATTATAATATTTTACTTAATTACACTTATTGAACGTTGCAAGATATAAAGCATTTTATCTATTTACTCTGGATAATGTCTCTCATATTCATTTTGGTGGGAAAGAACGACTGAGGCAAATCCTCCCTACATGGGGAGACATCCTTCCACGTGGAGCAGTAGAAGTTTACGGGACGATTAGGATAGAGGAATTACGAGGGCTGCACTGAAAATTTCGGGAATGAAGGAAGTGACACAACATTACTATTAAAAAACGTATTCATTGCTTTTCGAAGTATTCTCCGCGAAATTTGACACATTTTTCCATACGATGGAACCAATCATTGAAGCAGCCATTCCATTCGGAAGTTAGAGTCTCCAAAATGGCCGTTTTGTAGGCGTCCATAGCTTCTTCAGGTGATGAAAATCTCTGTCCACGCAATTTATTCTTTATTTTAGGGAAAGTATAGAAATCATTAGGACTTAGGTCGGGGCTGTACGGCGGATGGTCTAATAATTCTATGTTTTCTTGCTCTAAAAACTCTTTTGTTCAGTGTGCGGTGTGAGAACTCGCATTGTCGTGATGGAGGATGATGCGGCGGTTTCAGTTCTCTTTACGGAGTTCAGAAACGACCTGTGGAAAACAAATGCTAGCATACCAGTCTGCATTAACCGTTCTTTGTCCCTCAAGAGGAATAGTCGTAACATGGCCGGTTTTGGAGACAAACGTGGCTACCATTTTTTTTGCAACACTTCGTGAACGAACTATTTTTGTTGGCTTTAACTCATTTTCAAACACCCAAACTCGTGACTGGTTTTTTGTTTCGGGTTCGTACGCGTATATCCAGGATTCGTCACCTGATACGATGTTGTATACAGCATTTAAGGATCCTGCGTAGAATCTTTCGAGAGTTCCGACGCACCAAGTAACGGGAACGGGAAAACAACTTTTTTTACACCTAATTGTTCATGCAAGATTATTTGTATTTGACTCATGCCAATGTCTAAAGTTGCCTGAATTTCGCGGTATGTCACATGTTGATCTTCCTCAATCAGCTTACGCACAGCATCAACGTTTTCTTGGGCGACCAAGACTCGGGAGCAGTTTTTGGACGACCTTGACGGGGATCATCACTGAGCTTGAAATTCAGCAAACCAGCGATAAATTGTGGTTTTGGATGGGGCTTCATCACCAAATGCAGAAATCATCCGGTCAACACACTGTTTTTGTGTTAAACCACTTCGAAAGTCATAATAAATCATCGCTCTTGAATTTTCTCGAGTCAATTCCATTTTCTCAACGACTAAACAAGTTTGACAAAACCTTGTGACAAGACCGAGAATCTTTTTTCAAATAAATAAATGGTATTCGATTTTTAAAACCAAGGAGTTTTCAATTAAAAAAATTTAATATGACAGGAACAGTGGAAATATTCCATTCCCGATACTTTAAGTGCAGCCTAGGTATTTGTAGGCCATACAAAGACTAAAAACAAGCCCTGGTAGCTCAGGCGCCAGTAACCCAAGTTCGTTCTCTACAGGCACCCATAAAATTGATAATTTTCTATGTGTATGTGTATATAGTCGGGTGATAGGTTGTCATAATAGTTAACAGAAAAATTAAAAACTCCTGTGCTACAAATATCATTTATTAGTTTTAATTTTCTTCTTATTATGTAATCCTGAACAATGCTTCTGCTTAATTATTACTTTGCCCAGTTTTAAACGACTGTGCTGAAAAGAAATATACTACACGAGTTTGGCAAGTAACTTTAAAATTAGGCGCATTTAATAAGAAGTACCCGGAGACCGAGCTTAGCTCGGTTTTTTTAAGTTACATTTAGATACAAATTACATTAAGAATATTTTTTGATCTTATTGACATAATAGAAAAAACTGCTCATTATTTGAAAAAAAAAATCATGAGTGCAATTAGTTTAATTAAAATTTTCGTATTTTTATAAAACATTAAAAAAAAGTCTCGAAATAATAGATTTTCTCACAAACCACGGAACCACGGAACCGATCGTTAGTAATCTGTCAAAATTTACCTTCTTATATTGTAGCAGTTTTTTATTGCTTGAAATCACGGACAAAAGGACATTTTCTAAAAATAAATACTAGCTAGATCAATTTATTGCCCCCGAAACTACCTGGACACTAAATTTTATGAAAATCGTTGGAGCCGTTTATATATATATATATATATATATATATATATATATATATATATATATATATATTTATATATATATATACAAGAATTGCTCGTTTAAAGGTATAGGATTTCAAAATTGTATAACACTTGCAAGACTATTAGTTAAATTATGGGAAAAAATGGTTTAAAGTGTACCCCAAGGCTTTCCTCAAACCCGTTACTTGAGATTCTAGTTTGAGTGAAACGGAGGGAACCAGTTGACAAGCGTGAGCGAGACAGATAGTGACGCTATTTTTCACTGTCGCACACAAAATTAAGTTCAGCACATTACACTCCTTCGTTTTTTGCGCATCTTTCTCTATTCTTTAGTGTTGATTTCGTATTTGGCTTCGTTTTTTCTTTGTATAGAATAAGGGTGACAAACGAGCACACAGTCCACCTGATGGTAAGTGTATGCTGTGGCCCATAGACATCTACATTTATCCTCGATTAAGAATCCAAACGCAGATGCGTTGTGACCCCTAAGGGCCAAGATTGAATGACTCTTTTACAGTATAAAACGAAAATTAAAAATAGTTAAAAATTTGTAGCAACAGAAGTTAAAAAACCGTCATAGGATGTAGATTTTCTTTCTATACTTTTTCATAAATGCTGGTAATTTTTAAAATACATAGCAAAGATTTTTTTTAGTTGTATATGGATGTATATATATAGAGGACTAAGATAGATATATAGGGTCTCCTGTTCTCTACACTCACCATACGAAACATAGCAGCATTAAGCTACTATTTCATGTTGACATTCTGTGAGAGCGTGGTTCTTCCTCAGTCAAGCTCACCCATTTGAACTGCAGCCATAAACCAGCTATATCTTGACTACTATGTTTAATATCTAATTTTAGGTTACAAAATATTATTATAATGAAAGACATTTACGGATTAGTTTCCAACGGCAAAGGATACAAAATCCCTTGGCAGTACAGTTAATATAATTTTGATCACAATTTATTCATGGGTATATGCATCTTTAGCACTGACCTCTATATATACAAATACGCTGGACTGGCTATATACCGTGACGTGATAAGGCAATTTGATTTGCGCCATTTTGGCGCTGAGAGCAGAAGTGCACGTCCAAGAAACTAATAATAGGGACAAGACTGTGTGACAAAATATAGCGATAAAAATTCTATACCCTACCTATACCTAAATAAATAGAATGAACTCTACACGTAACGTCCATTCTATTTATGTATCATATTAATATAATTCCATTATCATTCATCATCATGAAAACCCTTCACAAGTCCACTGCTGAACATAGGCTTCCCCCAAGGAATGCTACAAAGCACGGTCCTGAGCCACCTGCATCCATCAACTTCCTGTATGTCTTACTAGGTTTTCACTCCATCTAGTGGGGGGACTTCCGACACTTCACCTGCCGGTACCAGGCTGCTACTCGAGAATCTTTTTTCCCCATCGGTTATCGGTTCTTCGAGCTATACGGCTGGTCAATTGCCACTTCAGCTTACTAATCCATTCTACTGCCGATATCCTCATTCCTAAGTTTATCCTCATACGCTTTCCAGCTTCGGCAGTGCCACGTATTCTAGGGGGCTTGCCATATCGCAATCCATGGGTTCTTGATCGAACACTCAATTGCCTTTGTCAATTGAGTGTTCGATCAAGAATTTGTAATGCAATTGAAGCTGCCAAAAACGGTGAATATAAACGATGGCCAGAATTTGTAAATAACAAATAAATTAAAGTAGGGCCACTACGAAGTTAAAGCACACATTAAATCTTGAGACTCGACAGAGAATTAAATCTCTAGACTCGCATTTACTAAAACCCCATGGTGTTCTACCTCCGCCGCAAATTGACAGGGCCACGGAAACGCTTTTTCATGCACATCTGCGGTCCCTCCGGTGCCAGCCGCCCAATGGCAGCCCCTCGTTAATTCAGATAAGGCGCACCAGAAACACAAGGTACACTGCCCTTCGCGGCCTCTGACTCCATTTGCACTACGGACTCCCCGAGCCCGATATGTGAATAAAGCCAGGAAAACACGAACTTGGAAGCATCAAGTGGTGCAGCCTCACCAAAGTCGCGAAGGATAGTCGAGTGGCATCGCATCGCCAATCGCCATACCAACACTCCTCTTCCCTGACGACTCCACCTCGACTACAGCGGTACAGGGAGAGGAATCTCCTCTAGCCGCAGCTCACTAACACACATCCAACGTGGCTCGACATCATCAGGCGACCTTTCGACACTTGGCTATGGCCCTTGAGTTTGGGGGAAAATGAGGAAAGAAGAAATAAAAAAACATTCGGAATAATAATCTAATAATTTTATACTTACTGGTACTTGTACTACCAGAAAATATTGTTGAAATATTCCACTTTTTCAAAGTGGTGCAGTTCTCATGTCTAATAAAACAGTCGTCTGTGAAATGTTCAGAACAAATATGATCATTTTGTTACAGACGCCAATTCACAATATTTAAGCGTTTAAGCCATAATTTTAGTCTAGGTTCAGTTGAATGCCTGTTAATTAATAAACATTTGATAATCATCTGTTGTTGGCGACTTCGTTTGTTAACAGATATGGGTAGGAAAGAACATCGATAAGTATTATAGACAAGGAACTCGACAACCCTATTGAATTTTATTGTTTATCAAAACTCAGTAATATACAGCCGTATCTATGTTGGTATATATATATATATATATATATATATATAT